ATGGGATTTTCATCGGTGGTGTGGTGTATTTAATTATGGCAAAGCACACTAGGGCTATCTACCTAAGAGGAGGGATGCCTCCGTGGAGGACTTTCTAAGAAAAACTGGCTCATATACACGTTACACATGGGGAAAACCACAAAAACACCCATGCAACCAGCCGGTTCGCGGGATTTGAACCTTGGAGCGAACTACCAGTGTTCAGTGAATTTACCGCTCGGCCGCTGGTGGGCCCCGGGATTTTCATGGCTTTTGCATATAAAAACTAAAGCGAGAAATTGCTTAAATGCAAGTGATGACTTATGCGTATGTCTTTCAAAAAAGGAACCTTGCTTCGCCAGTATAATAATGAACAAACAACAACAGACTAGTCATTAATAAAAATAATATTGTTTTGTATCTATATAAAATGTACAATGTTTTTCAATAAACAATAAGTTTCACAAAAAATGTATTTTTCTAGACTAAAAAAATTAAAACACATTTTTCAATGGGTTGCGGAGATATATTTTCAGATTCAATGGGGTGCGACTCGCTAGAAAGGTTAAGAAATACTGGTTTAAAGAATTAAAGAGAAAGTATTAGTGCAAAAAATGAAGCAACTTAAACAACTTACATTGAAATAAATGTTTAGTAAAGTAAACAAACAACTATTAAGCTTTTTTTTTTTTTTTTTTTTTTGTAATTTTGATACCCTTTAGATCCCTAATCTGGAATCGCCGAAGTCCCGAAGAGTCCGGATTACAGACTTTGGACTATATCTGTTGATTAATTTATTGTCATTAAAGTGACATACAGAAATCTTACAAAAAGACAGAAGAAAAATTGCTTTTATGGCATATCTGCATTTCCCTACCATTATGTTCTCATTTCCTAGACCTTGTAAAAGAAAATGCCAGATATTTGATCATTCCAGACACTGAATGTCCTGATTTCAGACTTTATATACAGTAAATGTTTTTATTACTAATAACTAGCCAACTATAGCAACTTCCTGATGTGCATACGTTTTGTACTTTCTTCCCAGAAGTATACAGCAAATAATTTATACATAATATGTAAAACTTCAGTAAAGAGAACTATGCAATGCCTAAAAATATATTCATGATTTTATGAACAACATATAAACTGCCGCTTCCCAGATGCATCTGAAATCCAACATCAAATAATAGTTTGCACTTTAAAATAAAACTACTGATTTCCCATCAGAATTTACTTAAAAATCTATTAGAAACATAGTAGAACTTGCAGATCAGATTCTCCAGACATAATGATTCTGTTTTTTATACTGAATTCTGTCTTTGAATTCTTACTTCAGCAAATTTGAGTAAAAAATAAGTAAAAAAGCTTAATATCTTGGAAGAAAACGGTTCATACAAGTTTAGGTTGGATAATGAACTTCTGAACATAAACAGTAAGTATATACAGATGATTAATGTGATGATTAACAAAATGTCTCTACAACTAGTTTCATGCACCTAGGTTACAAGAATAGGTTCAGACAAAATATGCAACCACTATACTTGGTCTGAAGACGTTCAGTGTCCTGAAATCTGTTTTAAATAAACTGACATTACAGAATAATACATTCTTGACATAATTCTTTTTTAGAAAAAATACTGTAATGAAAGGAGAAAATATTACAATGACAAATTTCAAAAGCAACCCCGCATTGAAATTTCACAAACATTCTAATGAAAACAAGTCTCATAAATCCACAAATTCTGCAATATTAAAAAATTACCACTAGAAAACTAATGGAAATACCTCCCAATCATTGAAAAAGAAATATCACTGTTTATTTTTATAATTTTTCACTTTTCAGGGAAAATTCACTAATTTAACTGAATGTCAAAATGCTGCTTTTCCTTCAAACTGCATTCAAAGACTTTGTTATTGATGAATATACAGTTGAATTAAAGCCCTTGCATAAGATAACTAAGGTTCAAGATACTATATACAATGCATTCATGAGAATCTTAAATTCTTATAGCATTAAGAATCTTTGAAGCATTATGACAAACAACACAACCTCAACATATAGTTCTAAAGCAGGCTTAGTTTATTACTAAAAACTGTGAAGAATTATGTGGTATGGTGCTCCAGCATCCATAATGAAACCCTTAGCAAAAGTTTTTTGGAAACCAACAATGTTATGAAAACAGTTATAATGCAAGTGAATTTCATGTCCTCTTTTATAATTTAAAAGATTTACATGTGGTATACACTTGATATTTAGTGTTACTATTTTTTTCCCTCCTATTTCCAAAATACAGTTGTGATGATTTTAAGTTAAATTCTTTATATAGAAAGAGAAGATATATATTTATGCCTAATTAACATGCATGCACTAAATATATCATTGTGCACACCTAAATTATTGGCTAAATAAAGCACATGGTGTTGTCCAAATTTAGTATTGTCCTTAACTTAGCTCTTATGAAATAAAGAAGTTGGCCACAACTGACTAAGATCATAAAAATATGAAAATCACAAGATGCCTCAAAACAGAGAAAATCCATCTGTTTTTATAAATATATATAAATAATTATTATCATTAAGTTTTAATGTCAATATTCACAATTATGCAAAACTTTTTCTGACCTATAGAATATAATTATGATCATGACCACTTTTTTCTTAGCCATTATAACATAAGGACCATGTGAACACATGTGCAAAGGATATCAGAAATATTATTCTGCCGAAAAATATTATTCTCACTAATAAGCTAACAAAATACAAAATCTAATACATTCTCGGTTGGACTCGTACAAAATCTTGGATTTTGGCGATTCTGGATTAGGGTTTTTCCAGATTATAGATAATCAATTTAAATCTGGTAAGATATAATGAAATTATACTATTAAAAATATGAAACCATAATTTATCAAATAAAAGCAATTGTGATCTAAAGGCATTAATATGGATGCGTCCGACCCCCCTGTCAATCTTAGGATTGACTCAATGGTCATGATCTAAAGGGTATCAAATTTTACAAAAAAAAAAAAAAAAAAAGCTTAATATTTATTTGTTTACTTCATTAAACATTTCTTTGAATGCATGCATGCGCGTGTAATGCATGCGCATTCTCTACGCGCATGCGTAAAGTTTGTGGCTTTGAGGACCGGATTATAGATCATTCCGGATAATGGAGGTTCGGATCACGGACTTTGTACTGTATATCTATTAACAATCATTATACCATCACAATCTTATTTTCATCAATACTACTCTCTTATTGTTTCAAACGATTTTGAAGTCTCATGTCTTTTCCCCCTTCTGTTTAAACGTGACTATTATTATTTACACTGATTTTGATGAAAATCAACATACATGATTAATCAGTTAATTAAGCTAGAAAATAATTTTAAATTTAATACAAGAATCTCTAAATAGGCAATAAATTCAATTATTATTATTACAGTATAAAATCCAAGATAGAGATTTGAAGGGACTTCAGCCATTTTAGATTACAACTTTAAATGAGGTGATATGCAGAAATTATAAAATTAAAAACATGAAATAGTTGTCTATGAAATAAACATTTGTAACCATGAAAGAATCAAAGTTTTCAAAAGGGTTCAATATCTGTTTGCTGTATTAAACATTTCTTTCAATGTAAGCTGTGCTGTTTAAGTTGCTTTTGGTGGGGGCTAATACTTTCATTTTATAAATAACACATAATTTCTTGTTCAGCTACAAAGTTCCAATGCAATGCCATCTAACTGCCATGTAAAGTATTCCTAATAAATTTTCAAATGACATTTTTTCATTCTTAACAACATTTTTTTTCATTATCAGCAACTATATTTTCTAGATTTAGGGCCATACTACAAATTTCATCATCTATTGATTGATTATTCGGACCCTGCAAATCGAAATGGAATATTTCTGTTATATCATTTTCATTTATTACGACTTCTCGACGTTTCCTCACAAATGTCATTATGGGAAAATTTGCTTTTTGTTTGTAATAATCAAAAACTGTCATATTTGTGGCTATCATCATAAAGACTTGGACTTGAGTCTCATTCTGACCGAACTATCGCATGAAAGTGCGATTTTGTCAGCTCTGTCAATTTTAGCTGCAGTGGAACATGATGTGGAAAAATTCTGTACCTTGGGGATCTCACTAAGGTGAAATCTGAGAAAGGGTAATAGGGGGTTGGTTTGTAAGGCCGCTGGTTTTTGAGAAGTAATCAGAAGTGTAGAAAATGGTATGAAATGTACACAAAATCTCCCTGCTCTAGTGAGTTATATTGACACAGAAAGTGAAATTTCCAATGGGGGGGAGAAAAGAAATACATTACAGTTAATTAAATGAGCTACATGTGCTCTGATAAACTTATCCTCCTGTAACGTTTCATAATTGAATATTTGCGAGTAATTAAACAAGTCACGGGTTGAAAAATGGTAAAAAATTTATCATTTTTGCAATGTAAATAAGTTTTTATGTTACGAATCTTAAGATCCTTATGGAATAAAGAGTTGCTGACCAAGTAATGTGCATCTATAATCAGTAACAATCATAGACTGTTGTGTGCCCATGTGCAAATTACAATTAGCCTCCCCCCTTTTTTATAGAAATGTGATATAATTGAAAATCATTTTGCCGACCTTGAATTTAGTCGCCAATATGGTGTGCATTACCTTGCTCCCTGCTAGGATTGGCTCTGTCTGCAATAATTCTTAGGCATTTGTTTTGCATGACTTGTAGTTTGTGGATTTGACTGTTTGTCACCGTATTCCAAGCAGGTGATGCATAGCATAGTATTGGCCTGGTGCGAGCTGTGTAGATATGCTTTTCAGTTTTTACACTGAGTTTCAAAAACTGGCCTATAACTGGAAGAATCATGCCATGTAAAACTTTTATTAAGGATAATTCCCAGTTATTTTGCTTTGTCCTCAAAATGTCCTCAAAGGTACATTTTGCTTTGTCCTCAAAGGTACTAAGGTAAAAGTTCTCTGAGTTGGCTTAAATTTTCTAGTCTTATTACCAGTAATTGTGATTTATTAGCATTTATCTTTACTCTCCAAGTGTTACACCATTCTTCTACATTTTGGGCTTGCTTTTGAGATTTAAGAACAGCAATATCTGCACTTTGTGGCAATGGCCATATCATCTGCATAGCAAGCTAATAATGAATCATAACTTGTGTGAGAAAAGTCATGAATATAGAATAAGTGGAGTAGTAGGCCTAAAACTGACCCTACACCAGATTTCATTTGACATATTATTATCTTGTCCACAATTGAGATGCAATTCTTGAGAAATGGAAAGAGGATTTGAACTATTTCTCTGTTCAGCTGAATTAAGTTTGCAAATGAGTCCCTGATGCCAGATGCAGTCGAGAGCTTTTGCCACATCTAGCATAAGGAATGCTATGCATTGCTTATCATGAAAGCCACATCAATAAATTTGAAGATCCTTACGAGTAGCTTTGTTGTGTTCAGATTTTTTTCTAAAGCCATGCTGTCTTTTTGCAAAAGATAAAAGTATGAATCAAGTCTTTTTGTGAAATTCTTTTAGAGATTTTACAAGTCCTGAAAACAGACTGGTTGGCCTATAACTCTGCAGAGTTGTAGCATCCTAGCCAAGTTTAAGTAATAAAAATATCTTTATTCTCTTCAATGGGTCAGTCAAAAAATTATTTACAAGACACGCGTTTAAGACGCCGGTTAATTTACTTAGAGCCATTCGTGGGAGGTTTCTTAACATTGAGTTCACCGCTCAATCTAATCCTAGTGCCTTTCTCAGTATTCAGATATTTGACAATATTTTGAATTTCTAATGATGAAATTAATTTAGGTGTGTTTATAGCAGTCAGCGAGTGCAACCAACTCTAAACATAATTTTCAACAGTGCTCTTAAAATGAAAATCCATCGGATCTGTACCAAGAGAAAATAAATTCCAGGTGCAGGGAAAAAACTGCTGTGTTATTTGTGTAGCTATTACAAACCAATTTCTTTTTCAAATTTTTTAAATACTGCTAAAGTGAACCATCATTTGTATAAATGTTAGCTTTTTTTTTTTTTTTTTGATTTAGCAGAAAAGTCTTTTGTGAGTTTTTTAAATTTTTCTGTTGTCTCTGTATGTTTCTTATAATTTCCGGGTCCCAAATTTGATGCCATGTTTATAGCAAATGATTTCATTCTTTAACTCCCTGATGCTTGTGGGAGGCCTCATATAAAAATTTGTGTTTTTAATAATAGTAGCGGTGTCATTATATGCTTTCAGAATATTCTAAGTAAATTTGCCGATAGTTTTATTTATACAGTCAAAAGTTTTTAATCCGGACTTCTGCGTTTCCGGATTATCGGTTTTTCCGGAGTATAGATCATCATTTAATCTGGTAAGATGGCATGCAGAAATTAAAATTAAACATATGAAACCGTATTTATGAAATAAAGAGCAATTATGATCTAAAGGGTATCCATTTACAAAAAAAAAAAAAAAAAAAAAAAATATTTACTGTTAATTTATTAAAATTTCTTTCAATGTGCGCATGCATTAGCATAGTCGAAATTAGAAAACGGCCAACCAGAAACTATTTGATGTGTATTCGTGATATTTATAATGATGAAGAATTTGATTTACATCCTATCAAAAGGGGAGTACATCGAGATGAAATACTACATTAGTAAGGAATTATAAGCCGAATAAAATAAAAACATCTGCCCTGAAGATAAGGATAGTGCTGACAGATCAACTTCCAGTTCATTGCGTGCCATGATGTCACCCCCCCCCCTGCAGAGCAGCGTGAAATGGTAAACAGATTCGGAGAAAACAAAGATATGCCTTTATCCATTTTTTGAAGCATTCCACTTTTTGTTTGATGGACAATCGAAACATGCTTTCGCTTTGTGATCCTTTGGCAGCTACAGAATCGGAAAAATTTTTTGACATAATCGAATTCAAGCTACTTTATAAAATTGTTCTAACAGTATGCAAAAATAATAAGACGGATCCCATTCGAAGATTAAGGAAAACGCAATCTGCAACATTAACTGAAAGCGATAATTAGATAATTGTAGCTTAGCTTATACCGTCCGTTATACATTAAATGCGCATGCATAAACACATTATGCGTGTACGCATGCGCAGAATGTTTGTAGCTTTGGGGTCCGGATTACAGATCATTTCGGATTATAGACATCCGGATTAAAGACTTTTTAACTGCATTAAATTAAGGCAGGCTTTTTCTGTGGATATTGTGAAAGAAAAATCCTATCAGCATTTTTCTTAATCTCGGGCTGTGAGTTCCAGATTCTATTGCCTGGCACCTCCATAAGTTGTAAAAATTTTGTCGCCCTTAAATTCTGCAGATCAGTGCCTTTAATAAATTCTGAAAATTTTACCACCCCTAATTTTAGTTGCTTGTTGCTTCTATAAATTCTAGGAATTTTGCCTCTCAGTACAGCCATACCAGCTCTAATGTTAGCCTTATTGAAGGAGAAGTTTGCATTCTTCTAGTTGACCTAAACCATAAGCAAAGCTCCAATGCTAACATTTCTACATTTCATCTTATTAGATTTAAACAGATGATCTGAAATTGGGATATTGCCAAAGTTGAGACGATTCTGGATCTCGGGCTTTGTACAGAATTACTCATGCCGTCCACTATTCCATAATTGACATCGACAAATCTGAAGCTAATGATGTCATTATAAAGTTACCAGTCTGAGAATGCTGGAGATTTTGTCCAACATTATTCTTAACCTGTATAAGTATAGTCCTTATAAATTAATCTGGGTTCATCTGCTCCTGTGTGATCATTATTAAATTCTAACTTTAGATTTTTTTGTGAAATGAAATACTTTTAAGCTATCAACTAGTCAATAAATATGTTAAGCAGCCAAATAGAACTGCAACTACATTATAATGTAATAAATCAGTGAAAAGCATAATCCAATACTTAAAATTTTTAGGAATATTGTAGACACTTACTTCCGTAGAACCATCATTCTGAACCCGACAAATTGCAGCCCCTGGAGGACATAAAAGTTCTGGTAGTTTTTCTAATGAGTTACAAATGCTTATATAATATGAAGTATTATCATTTAAAACACTAGAATCTGCAAGATGAGATGTAGCTGCTATGCTTGTAAGATCGTAATACTGGCTTCCATTTTTTATAGCACAATGTAACAATGTTTGACAAGCAAGTTTAGTTTCCCAACTAAAAAAATAAGTACAGTTGTGGGTTTCATGCAAAAATTTAGGTTCACCTATTCCATGCCCACAATGAAATTCTAACAGTGTGTTTCGTGTAAAACGACTATTATGACAGAAGTCACCATTACTGTAATTTAAAAACACAATTCCATTGCTATATATCAAGTAACTGTTAAACTTTCCACCACTCCAATGCTGCTTTGTGCCAGTTAATACTTCCTGACACATGCCAGAATCAACACCACATGGACTAGTATCATCACTACCACACACACTGAGGTAATATCGGTGATCATCTTTTTCATACCTGAATAATCCATGGTTTTTTAATGATGAGAGATTAAACAAATACCCAGTAAAAGGGTCTTCAACAGTGCAATTACCACCAACCTTTGATGGTTCACTTTCACAAGCATATATGGTATGCCAATCAAAATAGAAAGTACACCCATTGCTTCTTAGAAATTCTGGTTTGCTATCTATGCTGTTGTGATTGCAAATAAATTCAATAACTGTCTGCATGAATCTTTCAGTTTCTGTTCCTTCTGAATCACAAGGATCTCCAGAAGTATAGTTTATTTTTAGCTTACCATTATCCATATATGGTCCTTGAGTAACTGTGCCAAGATTTACCGGTACATCACCAGGATGGTTTGAAATATCAACTAAACAGGAACCAGAAGCATAAGGACAAAGAAAATCTAGTGCAGGCACCACACTACGGCATACATTAATCACAAAATGTTTTTCATACAAAGGGATGTTTAACATAATAATTTTTATTAGGTAGAGATAATCTGCTTAAATCATAATAAGCACCATTGTCACCTATAACAGAACATTCTACGACATTAAATGGTGGGGCATGCATGTACAGTAGGCCATTCAAATAAGAATGTACAATCTTCAGTTTCTGACACAAAGTATGGTCCAACTTCAAGAGCTTGGTGACAAGTAAATATAATTTTAATAGAGCCACTGTATTTCCCATGACAATAGTTTGCATCTGATGTATATTCGAGAGTAAGTACCCCATTTCGATAAACAAGATGATCATTTGGCAGACCGAAGCTTATTGAAAATGAAGGTTCTTCAGGTTTTGTTTGACAAGCACTTGAATTCATACATGCATTCTTGAAGCCATTTAATTTGTCACAAACATTCAAATAAAAGTTATATTCACCTACAGTTAAATAGTAATTATTTTTATTCTTCAGAGGATTTAAATCAAAAATGTATCCAAAGGAAGGGTCTTTAATTGTGCAAGCACCACTAATACTGTTTTGAATAGGACATGCAACAGGAGTTCTTAATGAGAAAATATATTCACATTCTGGAGTTTCTTTGATAAATTTTAGGTCTTCATGTTCTCCAAAACAGAACAAATTTACTGTTGTACTACGCTTAAATTGACCACTATTACAATAGGAACCATGGGTATAACGAAGAACTATGTTACCTTTATCATTCACCAGAGGTTCATTCATTTGTGATCCAAGATCATGACCTATACTTCCATTTTGCAAAACATTAGTTTGACAGGCTCCTGAAAAGCCAGTAGGACATTTATAACCATTAACTTTGTTCAAAGGTCGACAAATATTTATATGATACCTTAAATGTGAATGGTTTGGCCTACTGTCTGCAACCTCCCAATTACCTTCTCTATACTTTGTAAGAGGACTTAAATCATATTCATTTCCATACTGATCAAACACATTGCAATCAAAATGTGAACGGATACAGGTCAAAGGTGTTTTCATCTCAAAAATATATTGTCTATTCTTATCATCATACATTACGAATTTCAGATGTGGATCTGCTGTTGTGTTATGACATGGAAACTTTATTATCACACCTTCGTCGAAACTTTCATCAAAATACTTGTAGGTAATTGACAAATCTGTCCCAGTAGAATAGCTAAGAAAATATGAATCTGATACAGCTAAATTTCTCACAGAACCTTCTGAATCAATTTTACAGGCACTTACATTTTCTGATGGCTGTTTTCCATTAGAGGACAAACACCCTGATTCAACTTTACCACATACATTAAGCTGGAATGTAGTATTAAAGTATGTCTTTATTGTATATGGCTCACCAACTTTCCAAAGAGAAGTCAAATTAAAAGTAAAACCAGAATCAGGATCAGTTAACTGACAACTTTCAAAAGTTTGTGAAACACTAGTCGGACAAGCAGCCTTAGTTCTCCACAAGAAAGCATAGTCACAAGCACCAACTTTACTTAAGAAAGTTAAATCATTTTTGCCCATTTTATCCTTTGCACACAGAAAATGTATTACTGTTGAATAAGTAGCATTTTCACTATATTCAGTACAAGGATTTCCATTAGTATACTTGAGAATAAGATGACCAGGACTCTCTAAAACTGGAAGGCTGACTGGCTGCCCCAAATTAGATATAACAACCTTCTCTTCTCCCCCAACCTTTTCAACCATACATGCAGCAGCACTTGAATCACAAATTAAAGGCTGAGTGAGAGGTCGACAAATACTCAAATAGACCTTGCTTTCCTTATTATCTTCATTTACAACATGTACCCAATTGTTTTCATATATAGATAATCCTGAGAGATCATAAATTAAATGAGAAAATGGATCTTGAACCATGCACACAGTCGAAGAGTTAGTGCAAAGTAAACTAGTATACCAATGAAAAATGTAAGAAAATCCATCATGCCTAACAAAATGGGGACTTCCATTTCCAGCATTAAATCACAAATGTAAAATATTTTAGCGCCACCTTGCAATGGGTAACTAAAGCGATGAAATGAATTAATAGTCCCACGATTATAATATAAACCAGAAAAGGAAATAATCCATGATGAAGAATTTATTTTGTCCTCATGAAAAATACCATGCTGTGGCTCACAAATACGAATAAATAATTTCTGAGATTCAGCATCAACTTTGTATACTTTATGTTTAAGAGGTGATAGATCATAATTAATACCTATATTATCATCATGTATTTTACAATTAGCACCCTCAATAACAACTTCTGGGCAAGCTCTAGCAGTATGCCATTCAAATTTATACTGGCATTCTGACTCATCTACATGTACCAATATTGGTCTAGAAACAAGGTCCGAAAATCGGCAAAAAAAGTTTATAGTTGATATCCACCGTTTTCCATCTTTACAAGGACTTCCACCAGTATAAGTCAATCGGACAGAATCTGAAATTATATCATAAACTGGTGGTGAAGTAAAGTTTCCTAAATTCAAATATTTACCACTGCTATCCAAAACACAAGCAGATGAACCTTCACCACAACTACTTAAGTGACTTATATATGCCACCTGGCCACAAACATTCAAGTAATACTTAGCATTATCTTTAGGATTTATATTTCTTCCATCAGTGGCTTCCCACACTTTACCATGCCATCTTTCTAAAAATAATCGTGCAAGATTGATTGTTTTGTTTTTAAAATGGGCAGAACAGTAGTTTGTCCATTTTAAAAGTGTAGAGTCTAATGAAGGTTTCAAACATGCATGTTTTGTTTTCCATTCAAATGTATGAATGCAGGGATCTGAAAATATATGATAAGGCTTCCCATTACCATCATTATCAGCATCAGAATCACAAAGAAACTTTATTATAGATGACTGATCTGTATCATTATCACATGATGCTTGTCCAGGATAAGTTAAGATCACTATATCATCTGCATATATAAGATGTGATCCTTCTGTGGTACCTATTATCACAGATGAATTTGTTGTTCCATTGGCGCAAACAGATGTTGAGTTCCAATTTTTACCATTGCAAGCAAAATTTTGAAGTCCAACGCAAACACTTAAAGCAAATGTAGAATTTCCAGAACTACTGGGAATATTATATGCAGGCCTTTCTATCAAAGGGCTCAAATCTATTTCAACTCCATTTGATTCAGCTGTAAACTGACAAGTTTCCACACTTCCTTTTAATACATTTTCAGGGCAAGCATATTCAGTGGCCCAAATAATCTCATACTGACAATTTGACACGGGACGACGCAGCAATGGAAAAAAAACTTTTATTTCTCTGAGGGCATTTAAATATGATAGTTGTTTTTGGTTTGAGACTACATCCTTTAGGTGGCTTTGGATATATTTCATCTGTTAAATAAGACAATATTAGTCCTTTCTGTGTATACTGAAGACGCCCATGTGGTTTTCCAAATGATAAACGTTCATTCCAATGAACTCTGCATGCTGAGGAATTTGAACCACAACCTTCATCACCAAATATCTCAGAACATATATTAATCATAAAGTCAAAAGTCGTTGAAAAAAACATTGCTACAGAATAGCCTCCTTTTCTTAAAATGAGCTGAGACAAATCCCGCTTATTGCCTTCATTATCAATGGCATAACAAGGAACTTGACGAATTTTAGGTTTGTTGATGCAAGCAGCTGAAGTTCTCCAGAAGAACTTCACTTGACAATCACTCCATAATATAAGTTCTGGTGCTCCAAGATTCGGCCCACATGCAAAACTTATGGTAGCTTGATATACTCCACTTGAACCACACAATTCACTAGTATGAACATAAAGGGAAAAACCAGTATTCCCATTGTCAGAAATTCTATAATCAGACGGACTTTCAATGGCCTTTCCAAAGCTAACAGCTTTTTCACCTGAAATTTGGCAAATGGAACTTTTCGAGCATCCTTGGCTAAGAGATAATTGAGTATAGTTGAGAGGATGGCATATACTTATTTCATAGTATGTAGAAGTTCCGTTTACCTTTGTTCCAGATACAGGCCATCCACCTGGCCTAAAAAGGAAAATAAAAGTAATTAATATTTATTTACAACCTCATACAAAACAGTAAACCTTTGAAACAACTTATGGAAAGATTTTTTTATCATTGGGGGCTACACCATCACAAACTTGCAAAATTTTGGAGAGTAAGTCATTTACAAATTGATACTCTAAAAATTTACCAAGGATTAATTTTATTGCTGGTTTCTAAAACAATGCAAAATATGTTTATTTAGGTATAATTTCTTTTAATAGCCCTGTTTATAATTTACTATAATGATAAATCTAAATTTCTAATCCATCATTGTGTAAGAAATACATTATTTTTACAATCCACATCATAAAAAATACTGTTGACATTTTACAATTAAAAGACCTTTTAAATATTAATTAAACACTGTAACACTGAACAAAATAAATAAATCAATTTTGATCTAAATTACAGCCAATAGTTGGCAGATTAATTAGACGGTAACTTTACCATGCTTCAAAATATTCTCTCATCAAAACAAATGTTCATTAAAAAAAAAAAAAAAAAAAAACTTCAAAAATCTTTTTTAATAATACATAAAAATTCATCTTAGCAATCCAGAACAACTTAATCATTTAAACTTAAACAAAAACCTCAAGAAATTGTTTGTCAGCCAGATCACCAGAATTGCATATAGCTAGTCAAAATACACATGAACAATTTTAACCCTAAAATTGATTCCTTCTACATGAAATTATAAAACATACTCTTTTCTAACATGAAAGTAAAACTTTCAAATTATCAAAGCATTTCAGAATGATTTTAATAATAACCATCTTATTAAATTTATTTATATGCAATGCAAGCTTCCAACTACATTACAAGACCTAAAAAAAGTCTTATATGAACTTTAAAATGCATTTTAAAATGAAAAAATTAATTAAAAGTCTGAAGTGCCCTTACCACACATTATGAAATATTGCCACTAAAATATTATTGGATAAAATCTTGCCATACAGTACTCACTGTTTATTGAAATCACTTCCATTTCAAGCATGTTTGAGTTTATTAAGTGGCTGGTTTGACACAGTAATTTGTGCACTGAAGACTTTGAAAGCATTTTTAAAAATATTTAAGAAATGCCAATGGTACAGTACTCAGTATTTAAAATATAGATTTACACGCTCTCTTGAAACCAGATTACGATTTATTTCATTTTTTTTTCTTTTTTTTGATTGTTAGTACTGGTAAAAAACTTGAATAAGTGGGCCCCGAACGCGAACATTTCTTTAAACGGCGCAGTCCCGGATCTAGAGGGGAGCAAGCCGGGGTCTGTGCCCCGGGCGGCAAATTCAAGCGTGTTACTGGATCGTATTTGGAATGTTGTCTAATTTTTCATACAATATTAGTAATTTTAAAGACCACTTTTAAGAATATTTATAATTAATTACTAAGAAACATTTTAATGAAACAAACAGTTAAAAGAAAGCTAAGTACATCCGAATACGACTGTAAAGATAAGATCAGAGAGAGGACAATCGAGGAACTCCAGGCGTCACTGACAAGGTCAGACGACCCTGTCCTCGAGGCTCGCGCCTCTGCCAACTCAACACAGCCTAAATATAATAGATCTGGGGGGGTTGACCAACCTCATTTGATTTTTCACTGCCGTTCGCTTGCCTTCCCAAAAGGGATTATTGCCCCTTTTATGCAAGCTCACTTCAAAATGTCTTGCCCGATCGTATACCAACTTCGCGGAATTAATTGAAGCCCTCCTCAATTCTCTAAGGAGGTAAGAAAGGAGGTTATTTCCTACCTCCATGCAATTCTCCTCGACAACTAACAATGGTCAACTTTTCAGTCCCTCACTTTAATGTACAAAGGGTGACACACAAAGAAGAAACTATGAATTACGAACGAATTACTTTCTTTTATACTCATATTATATTTTTATAATAAAGAATGATGAGTCAGAACTTGTTTACGCTCCACAGGAATTAAAAAATTTTCAAGTTGCAACATTTAGCTGCAATATGTTATTTTTGACAATTATTATATAAAGAAGAAATTTGGGACTTAAGTAGTTAAAATCTTGCAAAGCGATAATTAATGTTCTAAAATATTATCTCCCAATTCTTGAAATTAAAAGTGGTCAATTAATGTCAAAAACTAAATAGGAAAAAATTGAAATTAAACTGAGTTATCGTGTTTCTTAAAATTACCATCCATATTTACTGATGTAATTTTAAGAAGTGTAATAACCGAGTTTAATTTGAATTTTCTCCTATTTAGTTTTAACATTACTTGTCCACTTTTAACTTCACTTTGGAGGTAATGTTTAATATATCAGTTTTGACGTATGTAAACCAGATAAATTAATGAACCTACAAGAAATTGATATATATATCTACTATATATATTAAATCAACCTATCAAATATCGGATTTAAGAGAGAAGATACTACAGTACTAATATTAATTTGCATCTTTTTTTTTTTTTTTTTTTTTGTTTTGTTTTGTTTTGATAAATATTTTTGAATTTTCTTAGATCTTAAATTTCAAATTCAGCATTTTAGGTAAATAGTTCTAATCTAATTTTAAAATTCTTTTCATTGAATCCCAAAATTCGGCTTGTTAATCGGTTCTAAATTCATACAAATATTGTTAGTAGACCGACAATATATCTTTAGCACAATTTTTACATTAGTTACATAATTAGCACAATTTTTGGATAACTTCAATGCAAAGCAATTGTTCCGTACCTAATTATAAGCGCTACTGTGGCAGCGTGATGAAGAAAAAGAAAACTATTTAAGTTACCTTGGAAATCGCAGACGACTTTTTATTTTTAGATTTTGGTTTCTAACGGTTTGATGGAATAGAGTTAAAAAGTGTCGTGAGTGTTTTCAAAATGAAAGTAAATAAAGTTCTTTTAAAACACTGAAATTTTTTAACAAACGTCTAAAATCATCAGCAGCAATTTCTGTGAGATTTTAGTAATGCGCGAGTTTTTCAACTAAATATTACTGTGGAATTTTTTGTCCAACCACACAGCGTTTTGGGATTTTCCTGAAAAAAACTCCTTAATTTCACTTGTAATTCTGCCGAATAATTACTTTCAGATATAATATGAGTCTGGAGATTTCCTAAAATATGTGAATGCTTGAAACATCTACGGAAAATATTACAACAAACATCTTTTTAATAAATTGTTTCAGTGTGAGCTTCTTACGTTTCTCCGTGTAGTTACCTAATTGTGTGTAATCATTAAAATAAGAAGTTTCATAATTTTCACGCTACTACAATACATTTTAATTCTGATTTTTACATCTTAAACAACTCGTTGGAACGTGTAGACGAAATATTATATTATTTTCTGCACGACTACATTTTTTTAAGGATAAATGTATAAGTTCTCATTTAAGAAAAAATTTCGTAGTAATAATCAGCTGAAAAACTCGTGTATTACTAAAATCCCACAGAAATTGCTGCCGCTTGTTAAAATATTTCAGTGGACTGCGTTTTAAAAGCACTTTATTTACTTTCAGTTTAAAAACACTCACGACCCTTTTTAACTCTATTCTCTCAAAACTGTTAGTATCCAAAATCTAAAAATAAAATGTCGTCTGCAATTTCCATGGCAACTTAAACGGTTTTCATTTCCTTGACCGCGCTGCCACAATAGCGCTTATAAATTAGGTACGGAACAATTGCATTACATTGAAGTTATCCAAAAATTATGTAAATTATGTAACCGATGTAAACACTGCGATGAAATTCGCTTTATTGCCTATTGTCATATTTTGTGTGAATTTTTAATTACCAAATTCAACGATTCGAAAGCGAACAGTGCAAACACTATACGAAAAAAAATACCTCTATCGGGAGTGGCAGTCTCTCGAAACTCAACATTTAAAATCACGAAAAAAATCACTTAAAACGTTTTACACTTTTTAAATTGCTCTCACGGTGTGTTTCTCGCATTCAAAAGTAACAACGGTATCAAAGCCATCAAATTCTGAATAATGTAGTACTCCACCCGAATATGGACACCTGAAATCCCGAATCTGGAATCTATTAATATTTATGTTTCATTGTCTATTTCATATTTTGTAAAGATTTAACGAATTGTTGATTAACAAATTTAACGATTCCAAAGCGAGGAGTGGTAACACTCTACGCAATGAAATATCTATAGTGGGCCGTGAGTGTCTATCGAAAATTTAATTGGGAAAAATTTTAAATCAATTTTGTATTTTGCAAATAAATAATAAAAACAGTTAAACATTAATTTTTACAAGCAAGTCCTTTCCGAGAAATTCATGTAGAATTGGATATTTAGTCAAATTTTTAGTCCAAAGGGGCTTTGTACCTGAAGGACTATCGTTTTCGTTTTGCGCTGAAGCCTTTAAAAGGCTGTATCACTTTTCAAATCGTTGCCACCCAATACTATCGCCTTGTATTATATCTGAAGAAATTAAATAATGAAGAATCTGCATAAATGTATGGATGTTTCTCGCATTGTGATAAAACAACGGAATCTAGAGCTATCAAAATTTGACTTACGTAATCTTCCATAGAATATGGGCACGTGGAAGCCCTAATTTGAATTTGAAATTTGCTTTATTATAGATTTCATATTTTGTAACACTTCGACGAATATTTGATTAAAAAACTCAACGATTTCAAAGCGATAATTGGCAACGTTGTACAGAAAAAAAAAAAAAAAAAAAAAAAACCTTTTTATCTCCAGCGCGCGAGACTGCGTATCGGAAATTCTAAAGATACGCTCAATAAAAAATTATTTTGCGATATTGCTCTTGAACTGAATTTTATGGTTTAAGTACGAAGAACACGATATTCAATAAATAAAGGTAACACACAAAATGTTAGAAAAACGCCCCTTTGGACGTAATTTAAAGTCTGGAACCTTTCAGATGTTCTTAATTTCTTTAAATATAATACAGGGCGATAATTTGGTGACAAGAAATTAGACCAACGCTGAAAATATTGACACTGTGTGTGACGTACCGAAGTCAAGTGTGACGTACCGAAATAAATGCATAAAGTATTTCAAATTAATGATATGTCATCTTTTAACGCACTATTTACTGTTTAAAGCTGTGATTATTATTAAGTTACTTATTAAAACATTCTCATATATTAAGTGCATTGCGAAGTAATT